CTGGTCTGCAGAGTGAGTTCCAGGACAGCCTCCAAAGCCACAGAGAAACTCTGTCCCGAAAAGCCAAAAATAAATATAAATAAATAAATAAATATTCTCTCTCTCTCTTTCTCCCCTCTTTCTCTCTTCCTTCCCCCTTTCCCTTTGCAATCTCTTGCTTGGGTTAAGAAATATCTAACTGAATTTTTTAGCTCCCCTTCCAGTCATATTTGAAATGTCTAAACTAATGGATAGATCCATAAACAGTAGTTTATTTTACTTTAAATTTTGTTTTGTTTGTTTTTCCAGACAAGGTTTCTCTATGTAGCCCTGGTTGTCCTGGACTTGTTCTGTAGACCAGGCTGACTACCCAGTTAAGCTTTTTATTTTGCACCGGGTGGTGATGGCATATATCTTTAATCCCAGTACTCGGGAAGCAGAGGCAGGCAGATCAAGGCCAGCCTAATCTACTGAGCGACTTCTAAGATAGCCTCCAAAACTACAGAGAAACCCTATCTCAAAAACAAAACAAAACAAATTCGTTTTTCTTTTGCTTTTTGGGGCAAGCCTGGCTAGGCTATTGTACATCTACATGCACTGTCTCTTTGCAGTATACCTCTACTTCTGCTTCCTTAATTTTGAGTCAGAAAGTGTGTCAAATTGTAGATAATCTAGAAAATTAATATCTAGTATCTACAGGATTGAATAAAGTGGCATTTCTTATATTGTAGGTAAATATATAAAATGGTTTAATCTATCAGGGCAGCTAAGCAATGCATGTAAAAAAAACCTTAGTGTTTTTAACTTTTCAACTAGCTAATTATTTTAGGAATATTTATCCTGGGAACATTTAAATATTCATAAAAATTGTGTATATTTTAAAATTGTTTCAAGTAGTGAGAAATTGGGAATAACATGGAAATCTTGACTAAGTTAAGTTGTCTTACCATTTCCTCCTAGTCCTCAGGTCTGGGGCCCCAGGAATATTTTAATGACTGTCACTGAATTAGGGCCCTAGCCCCTTGACTAATTTCTTATAAATAGACATTGTGGCATGAGCTAGAAGGCTTGGTGCCCTTTGCTGCCAATTCTGAAACCTGAACTCAGTCCCCAGAACCCTCAAGGTGGAAGGAGAAAAATGAGTTACACAAATTGTCCCCTGACCTCCATATGAATGTCACAGCTCACATTCACAAACACGCTCAAATTAATCAATTAATTAAAAATATAATCCGGATTGTGACCATCCTGGTTTTTAAAGAATTTTTTTTTTAAACTTGAGGTTTTCAAAACAGGGTCTCACTATGTAGCGCTAACCATCCTGGAACTCACTATGTAGAGCAGACTGACCTGAATCAGAGATCCACCTGCCTCTGCCTCTGCCTCCTGAGTGCTGGGATTAAAGACTGAATCAGAGATCCCCCTGCCTCTGCCTCTGCCTCCTGAGTGCTGGGATTAAAGGTGTGCGCCACCACATCCACATTTAAAGAATTTTTTTTTTTAAGAGTGCTTTTTATCTATGTGTATGTGTGGTTCTGTAAATGGATGCTGGGGTGGGGGTACATGTGGAAGCCAGAATCGGGTATCAAACCCCTTGGAGCTGTGCTGCCCTGGGATATAGGTGCTGGGGACTGAACTGGGGTCGTCTGGAAAGGCGAGTACTCTTTGAGCCATCTTTCTAGCCCCCAGAATACTCCTTAAGTGAGAAAAGTAGTATCAGTGCTTCTTCAGCTTTCTTATAAAATTGTTTGGGAGACGGCATTAAGCAGTTTTCCATGTGTGGAGAGTCCTGACAGTGTATTTTTTGGTGAAGTACAAAATCATTTTCCTTAATGCTGTACTATGCTTTTTGAATTGTCTTTAACTAAACGTCCAGGTATGTTATTTCTAAATTTCATGTCAGTGATCCATGTCTAAGTACATATATGCCTTTCACATGTTTGTTGACTATCTCAGCTAAACTGTGTTTTGTCTTTTATTTTTAGGATGAGCTTACAGGAATTGATCCTTTGGGTGAAGATGCCACCATACCAAGTTTCAGGAACGTAACCATTGGTCCTAACCCTGAGGACACTTGTTACTTTGTTAGAGCGCCTCGGTTTGCATCTACTCCTTTCCATGAGATACCGTCCTTGCAGGGCATCCCTTCCGATCCCGAGAGACTGTTGCAGGAAGAGGATCTGGATGGGAAGACCACTGAGGTTCATCACACTGCGCTGGCCACTATTTATAACCAGACCCTCAGCATCAAGAAGCTGAGGTGATTGGAGCATTTGTTCTCTGGGTCTGTGAGCTTGTCAGTTACAGTCTTTCAGATGCTTAAAAAGAAAGTCTGACTGTCCCAGGTATAATGTCAGTGAAGTTTACTGATTGGTTTGAATTTGAGGATTAGAAGAGGTAAATTTTGATGGTAATGAGACTCAGAGGTACAGGAGACATGACTCAGCAGAGACTTGTCCTTTTAGAGGACCCAGGTTTGATTCCCAGCACCCACAACTCCTAACTCCAGTTTTGGGGTGTCCATTGTCTCTGACCTCTCCAGGACTAGGCATACACATTGTGCACAAACATGTGAGCAGAACACTCATATAAATACAATAAATAAATAACGTATTTCCATCTATTTCTGATTGGGGAAAATGATGTGCTTTAAAAATGAGACTAATAAAAATCATAACAACTATAAATTATTTTAAAATAAATTATATTGCAAAATGAGTTCAATGTAAAATTTATAAATTAAAAATGTATAAAGTTGAGGACTAAAATGATGGCTCAGTGGTTGAAAACACTTGCTCTTACAGAGGTCCCAGGTTCAGTTCCCAATACTCAGAGCTCACAACCCCCTGTGACTCAATTCTGGGGGATTTGGCCGCCTCTTTTGACCTCTGTAGGCTCTGCTGTCACACTGGTGCACTTCATACATGCAGGCAAAACACTCAGAGAAGTAAATGCATCTTTATTAAGGAAATTTAAATTAAAATCTAAAAACTCATAAGTTGGTGTATTCTATCCCTGAGGACAGCTGCACCTTTTTGTCTTGCAGCCCAATTATTGAAGACAGTCGTGAAGCTACACACTCATCCGGCTTCTCTGGATCCTCTGCTTCCGTTACAAGTACCTCCTCCATCAAAGGCCTGCAGCTCCATGAGAAACTGGAGCTCACTAATGATGCGGCAGGTAGATCCGTCCAATCCAGCCTATGGGCAAGCTTCTAGATCTGTGTGGTGAACATACACATATCCCTCAGCAGACTGACCTATTAACACTTGAAGTTGCCACAAACTGTGATATTTCCCAAATAAACGAGCACTCACTTAACGTCATTCATAAGTATGCAAGGCAACTTAATGTGGGCCGATTAGCAGTGCTAATTTTGTAATCTTGGAGTCTCATCCCGTGTCATCCCCCCCATCCCTTACCCCTGCTAGTATTTTGTTTGTTTTTCTGAGATAGGGTTTCTCTGTAGCCCTGGAACTCACTCTGTAGACCAGTCTGGCCTTGATCTCAGAGACCCACCTGCCTCTTCCTCCTGAGCACTGAGATTAAAGGCATGCAACACGATTGCCCAACATTTTGTGGAGGTGGGGTGGGGGTTGAGACAGGGTTTCTCTGTGTAGCCTATAGATCCCACTATAGACCAGGCTGGCCTCGAACTCACAGAGATCCACCTTCTTCTGCCTTCCAAGTGCTAGCATTAAAGACATGTGCCACCACTGCTCTGGTTTTGTTTTTGTTTGTTTTTTTGGGGGTGGGGATTGGGGGGAGTGGGACAGGGTTTTTCTGGGTGGCCCTGGCTATGCTGGACTTGGTCTGTAGTCCAGTGGTTCTCAACCTTCCTAATGCTGAAACCCTTTAATATAGTTCCTCATGCTGTGGTGACCCCCAACCATAAAATTATTGTGTTGTTACTTCATAACTATAATTTTGCTGCTCTTATAATTCATAATGTAAAAATCTGATATGAGACCCTACAGGTTGAGAACCACTGCTATAGACCAAGATGGCCCCAAACTCCCAGAAATCCACCTGCCTCAGCCATCTGGCCCTAAACATTAGTTTATATGTGATACTTATTTCAATTTCTTTTCTCCACAGAAAATGCTATTCAGTCACCCTGGTGTTCACAATATCGACTACAACTACTAAAATCCCTCCCAGAGTCAAGTACTTTTGCAGAATTCTCTATGGAAGATAGACCAATGCCTACCCTGGAAACGGGGAAGGAAATTGAGTTAGGTAAGTATTGTTGAATACCTGCCTTTTGCATATGACAGCATACAATTAAATGATTTGAACACCATGAACCCTTGAACACTGTAAACGTTCCTAGGTTGTAATAAATAGCATTATAGAGATTAACACATTGGTAATTACTTTTTTTTTTGATGGTAGAGTTTTATTTTATTTATTTTAGATTATTTATTATGTACACAGTGTTCTAGCTGCAGGGCAGAAGAGGGCACCAGATCTCTTTATAGATGGCTGTTAGCCACCATGTGGTTGCCAAGAATTGAACTCAGGACCTCTGTAAGAGCAGCCAGTGCTCTTAACCACTGAGGCGTCTCTCCAGTCCCCCACATTGATAGTTTCATGACATAATCATAATAGCACTTTTATTTGCCTCCTTTTGTTTTTTTTTAATGTCTTTTAAGATTAAGATGTATTTACTTTATGAGTGTTTATTGCCTGCATGTGTATGATGCCTGTTGGTTCCCCTAGAACTGGGCTTCTATATATGATTGTGAGCTACTGTGTGGGTGCCGCAGATCAAACCCAGGTCCTCTGTAAAAATTAGTGCTCTTAACAACTGAGCCATCTGTCTAGCTGTCCTCTCCATTTTTAAACAAATGATTTGAAAAGTATTATAGATGCTACTCACTGGCAAATACACTAGCACCCCCCCGCCCCTTAGCCAGGAGGTAGAGTGTAAGGGCTCCACGTGTTCACAGTGACTTTTAGAATGGAATCTGACTTGTCAACAGGTAACGAAAACTACTGCATTAAGCAAGAATACCTAATATGTGAAGATTACAAGTTATTCTGGGTGGCACCAAGACACTCAACAGAGTTAACCATGATCAAGGTGAGTCTGACTCTGGAATTTCATTACCTTGTAAATAAGCCAAGAAGACCATTGTGTCCCATGGTACTGTCAAACCTGTCTACTGGCTTCTTAACTGGGAAATCAGTGAGCCATCGAAAAAATCAGTCAGCATTCTATGTCAAGACAGGGATCAGAAATGAGGGACTATCGTGTAAAGATTGTTGTAATATGCTGAGTGTGTGGACTGCTCCCCTCTGGATAGTTGTATTCTAGTCTTGACACACATTAGTGTCACCCTTAAATCTCCATTTGCCATCACTGTTGGTTCTCTCACTATGTTTTTCTTAGGCTGGACATACAGATACCCATTTTCCCCCCATCTCTTTCTTAGCTTCATTCCTCTTATTTTGGAAGAGTACTTAGTAGCTTTCTGATGAAAAGGAGGCAGTAAAAAGGTTTAAATCCTCTGGGTTAGAAAATTCCTTATTCTGCATCTTTTCTTGATTGGTGGTTTAACTGGATATAAAATTCTTTGTTAATTTTTTTTCCTCAGAATTTTAAGCCAGGCATTGGTGGCAAACACCTTTAATCCCAGCAGTTGGGAAGCAGAGGCAGGCAGATCTCTGAGTTCGAGGCCAGCCTGGGCTA